ACTTTGAGTTTAGACCAATGTCTAGATCTCAGTCATGCTAAATAACTAGTTATGTGTCATTAGACAAGTCACCCATTGTTCTGAGTCTGTCTTGTCATCTATAAAGCAGGAGTGATACCTCCTTCACTGTACTGTTGTAAACAATAAATTCATGTGAAAATGTCACTCACAGTACTTAGTACACAGTAGGTGGTCATAAATATTCCTACACAACATTTGGTCCAATGCTGTGTGTGTAGAAAGTGCCTGTAAATATAGAAGATGCTTATTGTAGGAGAAAAAATAGCCCAGACAAGCATGAGAGAGAGTGAATGTGTGCCTGAGTAATGGTTTGGGGCCCACAGCTCAGCAACCTAAACCACAACATAGACCCGCCCCCCCAGTTGGCCCGCCTAAACATCTGGGATTATGATCTGAATATAATTCAAAGGTCAAAATTAATAGGTGGGAATTTAAATTTTCAGGTGAGGAAAATAAGTTTCTCAGGAGACCTGCTTCAAAGCTTTAGAAATATAAAAAACAAACAAAAAAACTAGTAAGCTATTTGTGGAGCTGTGTTGTCAAATCATTGGATTGGTCAGAGTTCCCTGCTACTCTGGGCTTTCTCTAGGAATAGTGAGGGTCTCCCATTCTTCCCTGGAATGTTATCAAGTGGACCACACACTTCAGGCAGCAGAAGCATAGCCCTCAGGATGTACTTGGGCCCCACATTCTCTTCCTGAGGTTAAATTTGGAGTCATGGTTGCTTTGATCATTACTAACTTGCTTGCTCTTCTGTCAGCCCTGCATCTTTGGTACTACTCTTTTGCAGACTTTCTTTCTTGTTGTTTACAATAGTATCAAATGAACACCATCTGGTATTCAAACCCATTCCACATCACCTTACCCATAAACAAAAAGTACAAAAGAAAAAGCTTTAAATTATAAAGGAGTGACTTTTAAATGTCAGATGCAAACTTGGAAACATTGAAATCTTATTTCTACTGACGGTTTTTCCTGATGTTTTTTTCCTCCAGTGCAAACTGCCACTTGTTTCCTTTTTTGAAAGAGATCTTTGGCCGGAGATGTAGCTTAGTGGCCCTGCACCTGCCTGGCAAGCACAAGGTCCTAAGTTTGATCCCTGGTACCAAAAAAAAAAGACAAAAGAGACCCTTGCCTAATCACTGTATATTTCATTAGCTTCTTGAGAAATAGAGCTTACTTTTAACTAAGTCCAAGCTAAAATGCTTTTATTCTTATTTGTTTATTTTACAAGTGTCTAGCAAACAGCCTGATGTTGTACTTGGGCTTAAGTAAGACATGATTATCTCAACTCTATCATTTCTCAGCTGTGTAACTTTGGGCAAGTTGCATAATCTCTGTGAGCTTTTTTTGAATTTCCTTATCTACAAGATTATTGTGAAAATTAAGCAACTTTATGAATGAAAAGTGAGTGAAATTTTATTTTATATATATATATGTATATGTATATGTATATGTATATGTATATGTATATGTATGTATGTATATCGACCTGCAGGTGGTAGGTCGTAACATAGATTTCTTGGGCAAGTTACAGCCCAAATTTTAATTGACCCAGATGGCAGAGAGCAAGGATCAAGCATCTGAAACAATAATTGGAGAAAATCACTGATAACTGTATTTTGCACATTTAAAAAAAATAGTAAAAGCAATGTCAATTTTCATTATTTTCCAGTACTTTAAATCATTTCTTATGTGATTGAGCTGACTAAAATTTAAAATAATGAGTCCACTTAACTTTTGCCAATATTTCTTTTAACTTGACCAATGGAATTAGAACTGGCTAAAATATTGAAGCAAATCAAATTTTTACACATATATCCCAAATGTGAACACCTACCTGCTTGGGCAATGGTTATTAGAGGAGTTAGATGATGTGCATACAAATTAGAGCAGGAAATTGCAGAAATCCCACACCCCATGCTCTGTCTTGCTGCAGTGTTGCTTTGTAACCAATGACAGAACACATCACCACCTCCATTTATGATTATCTTCTGTGAGTCTAGAACGGTTTATTTGTCTTGTTGTTGTTATTGTTCTTGTTTGTTTTTTGAGACAGCGCCTCACTATGTAGTTGAGACTGACCTGGAACCCACTAGGTAGCCCTGGCTGGTCTCAAACTCACAGCGATCCTCCTGCCTCAGCCTACCAAGTGCTGGGATTACAGGTGTGCACCACCACACCCGGCTGCTGTTTTTTGTTTTTGGTGAGGGGGGATAGAATTTGGGTCATTGAACTTGCGAGGCAGGTGGCAGAACCACTGAGCTAAATCCCCTGTCCCTATGTAGATAATTATTTACAACCTGTTTTGGGATTTTAAAATATACAGTGCTACCAGCTTGGAAAGCAACAATAATTTCCATGGAGAGCTTCATGTTGACTGGAGGTGGGAGCACTGGGCCCTGCCCAGTTCACTTGCATTCTGCTCAATGTCTTGCTGCAGAGCTGGAGGTGAGAAGGTAAAATATAGTAACAGCTCCTGTCAGTTTGGGCCTCACTCTGTGAGCTCATTGAAAATTCCCTAGGATGCTCATCTTGTGTGGAAGGGTCAGATCTTTAAAATCTGATGGAAGAAGAGCCTCTCTAATAAGGTAAAAGATAAAAAGGAAAACATTACACATAACTGAAACATTTGAATAAAAGTCAATTTGCTTTCTACTACTTCTCCATTGTTTCTCCTTTTTTCCAGTAGATTTTCCTTTTCTTGCTGGGTACAGTGCCGCACATCTGCAGTCCCAGCTACCTGAGAGATTGAGATGGGAGGATTGCTTGAGCCCAGGATTTGGAGAACAGTTTGAACAGTATAATGAGACCCCCATTAAAATTTTTTTCCCCTGGAGCCTGGTTATGAAACTTTGTATTAGCTTCTTTATATGCTGAGAGCCTTGTTTTCTTTTTCCTCTCTCTCTCTTTTTTTGTAGTAGTAAGGATTGAACCCAGGACCTTGGGCAATCACTCTACCACTAAAACGCATTCCCCACCTTTTTATGTATATTTTAAATTTTGACTGTCCCTTGCTAAATTGCCCAAGCTGGCCTCAAACTTTGCATCAGCCTCCTAAGTAGCTGACATTACAGGCATGTGCCACTGCATTCAACTCTGGGCCTTGTTTTTTTATCTATATAGTGAAGATGAAGGTACCTTCCTGCTTTTCTAAGGTTTTGTGCTCACACATACCTATAATTTCTAGAATCCAAACATCTGCTGATTTGAAGAAGCATTAAGACAAAACAGTCCTTTTAGCTTCCCAGGGCTGGAGAATCGTCCACATACAATGTGATTCTTTTAAACAAGTTGTCTCAGTATTGAATTTTTCTTTTCCCTAAAAGCTCTATAAAAATAGTGTTTTCTTGCCAAAGACAGCAAGCCCCAAAAACCACTGACCTCCTATGAGCAGTCTATGGTTTGTGTTTGGCTTGGGATCTGTTTAGCCCTGTTCTGAGAGGCTGACTCAGCAGTTCTCCTCCAGCGCAGCCCCACTCTTGTCAGGATCTGGGTGCCCGTTCCCTGCCAACCAGGCTAGGAACCCATGCTGCCCCTGTCCCCCCTTATACACATGGGGCTTCCTTCTGTTTTCCAGAGTATGTCCTCTAAGTCTCCTCAGGATGTCAGAGCACGAGCTTATTTTTGTTCATGGCCTGAGATTTATCAGTCTTGTGGCATCTGTCTCCCCTGAGCTTCTCACCTCTATAGTCCCTGTTCCTCTCTCTGCCCTGTTCCCCTTGTTGCTATCTTACTTTCCAATCAGCTCCTCCTGTTTTCTGGAGATCCTCTTTCCTTTCCCTTTATTGAAATTTCATCAAACTCCCAAGGTTTTAGAACCTTGAGATTCTTTTCTGCGCTCACACATTTTGTTGTTGTTTTTACTATACTGGGTGTTAGACTCAGCACCTTCACAGTGAGGTACACCCTAGTCTTTTTTTTTGAAACAAGGTCTCACTAAATTGCCCATGCTGGTCTTGAATTTGCAATCCTGTCTCAGTCTCCCAGAATGCTGGGATTATAGGTGTGCACAACAGCACCTTGCTCTGCATACTTTTTTTAAATGCTGGGGCTGGGATTTAGCTCAGTGGTTCCACTACCTGCCTTGCAAGTGCAAGGTCCCAAGTTTGATTCCCAGTTCAAACAAACAAAAAGTTAAAATGTTGCTGGGAGTGGTGATGCACACCCATGATCCCAACACAGCACTCAGGGAGGCTGAGACAGGAGGATCACTGTGATTTCAAGGCCAGTTTGGGCTCTATAATAAGTTAAGGGCCAGGCTGGCTGGACTACATAGCAAGACCCTGTCTCAAAAAAACAAAAAATAAATAAAATGTTTTTATTGCAGAAAATTTAAAGTATATCCAAAAGCAGAGAAAACAGCATAGTGAACCCATGTACCCATCACCCAGCCTTACTAATCATATTTGATTTGCATCCCCATTCCCTTCCCCCATCCCCACAGTATTTTGAAGCAAATCTCATATGTCCTAAAATTTCTTTCTTAATTCCAAATTTGCTTGTGAGGAGGTATAAATTAATCCTCTTCTAGATATCACTGCATTTAGCCTGGCCACCTCTCTGATCTCCCAGGCTCTATCTCCTTGGAAATAGATGTCCCTCCCTGTGGTCCCACACTCTCACTGGTAGAACAGTTGACAGAATAAAATCCTCATTCATCAACCTAGTGAGGGTCCCATTACAAGACAGCAACTTAGATGGGAAAGAGAGGCTCTTAGAAGGATGATGGGGACCCATAGGAAAAAGAGGTGCCTGTGTTCTACTTCTCCCTTAAGTCAAAGGTGGGCATGCTTGTTTTTATTCATGATGAGCCTCTATGTTACAGAATGGATAAGAGAAATTCCTCAAAGCAAAAGGGAACAACTCCTGCCAATCAGTGACCTAATTTCCATTCCGCCCTTTTCCTTACCCAGTAACAGGCAACAGGTTCCCCTGTGAAGGGTCTAAAGCCTGTTCCTGTCCTATTTCTATTTCAGATGCAGTGGCAGAATGTGGAGCATGTCGGTGACCAGAGCCCCTATGTCACCTCTGTCATTCTTCACATTAAGCAGAATGTCCCCATCATCCGTGACAACCTGGCTTCCACACGGAAATACTTTACTCAGTTCTGCATTAAATTTGCAAAGTAAGTTCTGGAGCATTCTCATCATTGAGTTGTTTTTAATTTTTAAATAAACTTTATGTTTTAGAGCAGTTTTAGTGTCACAGAATAACTGAGCATAAGGTACAGAGATTTCCCATGTACTTCCTGACCCCACTTGCACAGACTCCTCCAGCATTAACACGCCCACCAGAGTTGTACATTTGTTGTAATTGATAAACCCAAACAGGCATATTATCACCCAAAGTCTGTATTCACTGTTGATGCTGTACATTCTGTGGGTCTGGACAAATCCATAATGACGTGTCTCTGCCATTATGGTATCATGCTCAGTGGTGGCTTTTTTTTTAACTTTTATTAGTACATATTAATTTTACAAAATTTTGGGTTTCAATGTGGTATTTTCATATATTCATTAACATATTTTGATAATATCCATCCCCCTTATCCTTCCCCATATTCCCTATTTTTCTTCCCCTTTATTCCCTTCCTCTTATCTAATAATAGTCTCCCTTTGCCGGTTGTGGTGGCTCACGCCTATAATCCCAGCAGGCTAACGCGGAAGGATTGCTGTGAGTTCGAGACCAGCCTGGGCTACATAGTGAGTTCCAGGTCAGTCTCAACTACATAGTAAGACCCTGTCTCAAAAAAAAACAAACAAAAAAATAGTCTCCCCTTTACTTTTACATCTTTTCCCCCTCCCTCCTGTACCAGGAATCAAACTCAGGATCTTGCACTTGCTAGGCAGGTGTGGTGCTACTGAGCTAAATCCCTGGCCCCCATCTTATTTTTTTGTTGCTGTTAAAAATCACACATATTAGGGACAATGTAAAAACTTGTCTTTCTGAGGCTGGAGAATATTGCTTACCATGATGATTTCTAGTTCTAGCCATTTTTCTACAAATAACATAATTTTGATTTTGATGGCTGAATAATATTTAACTGTGTATATAGATCATGGTTTATCTGTTCATCTCTTTATTATTATTTTTTTTGCATCTGTTCCTCTCTCAATGGGCACCTCAGCCAGTTCCATAACTTGTGAATTATGCCGCAATAAACATGCGCATACAGATACTCTATAGTATGTTGACTTTAATTCCTTTCGATTATACCAAGGAATGGTATAGCAGAGTCATATGGTAGCTCTGTTTTTAGTTTCTTCAGGAACTTCTACACTGATTTCCATAGTGGCTATACTAATTTACATTCCTACCAGCAGTAGAGAAACCTTCCTTCTCATCCTTACCAGCATTTGTCATTTTTCTTTATTCTTGATGATAGCCATTCTGACCAGGGTGAGGTAGAATTTCAGTGTAGTTTTGATTTACATTTCCCTAATGGCTAAAGATTCACCAAAGTTATTTTATTTTATTTTTCAACAGAGTTATTTTAATGCCATATTCACCACCTGCCATGCTCACAATTCAGGGGTTCCTACCACCCAGCTGGGGCTCATTCTGGTGCCTATAGGCAAACTAATATTAACCTGACTCCTGAAGGGCTATAATACTAAAGCTAAATCTTCTATTTAAGGTCATATATATGTAGTAGCGATATAATCATAAACCACATCAAGGCTAACAAAAATGAGCCAGGGTTTCCTATTGTTTGAAAATATATACGTATAACGACCCTCTGCCCACGTTTGGATAATTAAAATTATTTTTCAGGGAATTTGTGTGTACATTTTATCTCTCTGACTAGATTATAAACTTTTTAAGGATAGGAGTCATCAAACTTATGGCTCTTTTAAGACTCCTCTCTTCCTTCTTCTTTTTTTTTTTGGTACCGGAGATCAAACTCGGGTCCTTGCACTTGCGAGGCAGGCAGCAGAACCACTGAGCTAAATCCCTGGCCCTCCATAATATTTATTAATGTAGCTGCTAGAGTTTGTCCACTTGTAGATATTCCTGGGTCCGGAGAAGGTACTAGGAGTTGGGAAGAGCCTGTCAGCTTCATTGCCAAGGTAGATGGAAGAAACACTGAACTATATACATGTCTTCTGTCACATCCTCATGTGTGTCCATTTCTGGCTTGAGTTTTGAAGCAAGGAAATAGTTTGGTCCTTTGCAAATCAACATCTGGTGATAGCACTGTTTCTCATGAGACCAGGCAATGTAGAAAGCCAATGCTTCTCCTGGCCAATTATCAAACAAGTATTTTGGCAAACTTCTCAGAGAAGAGCTTTGGGAAAGTCAGCCATGTCCAAGCTACTGTATTTGGGTTATTCTCATCCAGGTCCCAGGGTGATTCAAGACCAAATTTCTGTCTTCTCCAAATCTCTCCCATTTTGTATTCAATTAGAACTTTTGCTCTCTGACACTAATAAATTCCTAAGGTGCAACTATTACAGAGTGGCCTGTAGAGTTAGCTTTCATTCTACCTTGTCAGGAAAGGATAGAGTGGACTCTCCAAGGAGGCATTAATGTCTGCAGTGTGGCAGGTGGACCAGGAGCTGACATTCCCTTCACTCTCTGAGTGCTCATTAATGTGTATTAAAAGCATTGTCAATAAATCACATAGTGACATTCCACATAAATGCTGGTAGAAATGTCTCTGTAAAAATTTGCTGTGACTAAAACTCTCCATTCTGGTTACCCAGGGATCTGATTGAACTCACCTTAGAGTAAATAAGGAAGCCATCGCTTAGCTTGTGTGAGTATTAGCCACACATTCTCTCAGAGCCCTTTAATTTTATTACTAAGCTCATATTGACTGAACTGGGAATCGGATGCCTGCTCACATCTGGAAAAGTTCAAACTATGATCTAGAAAGTATTTCGGCTTTAGTCAGTCGTACCCTCATTTTTGTTTGTTTGTTTGGTTGGGTTTTTTGTACCAGGGATCGAACTCAGGACCTTGCACTTGCGAGGCAGGCAGAACCACTGAGCTAAATCTCCAGCCCAAACCCTCTCATTCTTGTAAAATCTCAGCCTCATTCCAATAACTTGAGAGGTGGGGGTTGTGAGGAGACCCTTCCCCAACCAAGGGCAACACCATTACCATCCTAATGACCCAGAGACGCCCATAGCATTTACCTACCACATTGCTGAGAACTGTGCCTCAGAGACATGACTCTGGTCCCTGTGGTTCCCTGGCCTATCCCGTGTAGACTAGTGCACAGAGCCAGTTCAAGGGCACAACCACAGGTTACTGTAATGTGAATTAAGTACCTTGGACTACAAACTATGTGTCTAGTTGGAATTATTAACTCAGCCTCACATTACTTGTCTGGCTCTGGTTTTCAGCTCTGAGGATTCTTTTACAAATGGTCCTTTGTTCACTCTGCCTCTCAGTCAGCAGGCCTGCCCCTAGATCTGATCTCTGGACTTCAAATTCCTTTTCTGTAACCTCCTGCCCCACCCATGCAAATCTACCCATGGCTCCTTTGCCTCCATTTGATGTCTGTAGGGACAGTAGCCTTTCCTGTTTAAACATCAAGGTCACACCCTGGTTGGAACTGCAGTTTATAAGAAATTTTTTTTTCTTCTTTTTTTTTTTTTTTTTTTTTTTTTTTTTTTTTTTTTTTTGGTACCAGGGATCGAACATGGGTCCTTATGCTTGCCAGGCAGGTGGTGGAACCACTGAGCTAAATCCCTGGCCCTGGAACTGCAATTTGAACTACAAGCAACTACCCTCATCCACTAAGCTGACTCCCCTCTATTCAGTAATGGAGATAGTAAGACAAATCACTTAATAGTGGTTAGGAGGGCAAAATAGGAAGTTACAGGTAAATTTCCAGGTAAAGTGCTGGTACCAATCTGACAGTCAAAAAGTGGCAGCCACTACCATTATTAAAATATTAACTATTGGACCAGGGATTGAGCTCAGTGGTGTCGCTACCTGCCTCACAAGCACGAGGTCCAGAGTTTGATTCCTGGTACCAAAAAATTAACTATTTATTGAAATGCATTCATTTCAGCATCTCCTACATTCCACACACAGGGTCAAGTGATGTGCTTAGCAGACCCATACCCAAATTTAATTTGCTTAACAGTCAAGTGAAGGAATAGGACATAAGCAACTAAGAAAAAATAAATTAAGTTAGATGTGAGAGGCCTGGGGACTCCATGAGAATATGGTGAAAGTAACTGAGGAAAAGCTCCATCGAAGAGATATCTGAGCAGGGTCTGTGAGATGTGTGAGGACTGGCTCCCAAGCCCCTAGGAAGGAGTAGTCCAGGCAGAAGGAACAGTGGAAGCAAAAGCATGGAGACATTAGCAGACAACAGAACTTTTTTTTTAAAATGGGGGTCTCATCTTGTTCAGCCTCCCAAGTAGCTGGAGCTATAGGTATGTGTCACCACCATGCCCAGCTCCAAAACTACAGAACCTCCAGAATCATGGAATCTGAAAGCAGCTCAACAAGGTTGAAGCATAGAATCTCGGGGATTATCACTGCTAAGTCTGAAGACAGAGAATCCAGAATAAAGAAAATAAGCAGGTGTGGGGCCTCTAGGCCCAACTGCTCAGGAGTTGAGGCAGAGGATCGCTTAAGCCTAGAAATTTAAGTCTGGCCTGGGCAACACACAAGACCCTGTCTTGGGGGAAAAACAATTCAAAGAACATCTTCTTTGCAGCCATTATAAGAGTTTTAATGAGGGGAGGAACTTGGTCATATTTGCATTTGAAATAAATCCATTTGGCAGCAGGTGGATTAGAATGATTAGAGCTGAAGGCATGGAGAGCAGTTGGGAAGGATGATCAGAAGGGCAGAGAAGGAGTTGAGGGGAAGACTTGGTAACTGATTGGATGTTGGGCTTGAGGTGAGGCACAGTCTCAGGTTCCTGGCTTGGTGACTGAGTAGATGAGATCCAGTACCCTGAGCCTGGTGGCCAGGGGAGGGCCGAGTCTGGGATGGGCTGGATCTGAGGTGCTGGTGGCCATTCCAATAAGATGTCTTGTAAGTTGTTTACGACTAGAATGAGCACAAGAGCTCAGAAAAAGATGAAGGATTGAAAAGAAGGAGAGCACAAGCCCAGGTGCAGCTTCAGAAGACTGAGGAAAGAGTTGGTGGCCAGCCTTTACCTAAATCTACAGATCCAGCTTTTGCCCAGGCTCCATGACACTTCCTGGTCAAGTCACTCTGGATCTTGCCTTGGCTATGGGCATATCTACTTTCCACACCTTCAGTTCCACCTCTGTATAGCCTGGCTTTCTTGACTCAGGCCTCTAGTTTTTCCTAAAGAGCTCTCCTAACCTATTATCATTTCACTCTCCCTTCCACTAAATCAGCATCATCAAGCCCACCTAGTATAAATTGACCCTCAGTCCTCAGCAAGTTTAAAGAGTATTTTCAAAATACTTTGGAATGTATTTTATTTCCTGATCTGACAGTTATTCCTATAGCAATTATTTCCTGTTTCTGCATTTAAGGCCCCATAACTTCTTCATGTATATTTCACTCTCACATCTAGTAAGGTGTTTTCAGTTACTAATAATAGAAGGAAGCCCTGACTAAAACTGACTTAAATGGCAGGTAGGTTTCTTTAATTCTTATTATTTTATATAACTGCAAGTCCAGAGACAGGACAGATCTGAAAGTAATTGAGGTTGATTTGAGAGTTCATTGATGTCATTAAGATGTAGGTTGTTTATTCTGCTGTCTTCGGAGCATCCTTAAACTGGTGGTAGGATGGCAGCTATAGAGGATACATCCAGATGCAACAGTGCCCCGCCATACCTGCCTCACCAGCACAAGTTCCTGAGTTTGATCCCAGTACCAAAAAAAAGAAGAAAAAAAAAAGATGAAGCACAAATACAACAATGTACTAAGGAAGAAGAGGGGCTCCCACTGTACCCTTACAGTGAAGTCCTTTTCTCCAGCTGATTGGGCCATTTTAGATCATGTGTCCCTCTCAGGAACAATAAGAATAACCTAGGAAATGCCATGTTCAGACTGACTGAGACTGGTTAAAATTCACCTGTGTACTTTAGGGTGGGCTCACCTTTTCCCCAGCATACTTAGGCCATGTATATAGTATGCCTGAACAAAACCAGCACTTTGGTCGAAAGGAAAAGAAGGTACTAGATGTTGGTTGGTGGCACAAGTGTCTATCTCAATTCTGTTTTCTTAGGGAAGGGAATGGTGCCTCTATTTTTTAATTAATTTTATTGATACATTTTTAGATATACATAATGATAAAATTCATCATAAGGAATTTGTACCTGTACGTGATATATCTTGATTCTTTTTTCCCAATCCCCTCCCCTCCTTCAACCTCTCTTCCCCACTTTATCTACAAAAGCTTTATTTCTATTTTTTCCCCTTCTATTCTGTTTTTTTCTTTTCCCTTCCTTCCTTCCCCTCTCCCTCTTCCCTTGTTCCCCTACCCTTTTGAACATTTTCTTCCCATTTCCCAATATCTGTTATACATTTTGGTCTTTACCCTTTCAGTTTCTCACACCAGTGAAATGAAACATTTAAACATTGTGTCCTATTTATTTCACTTAACAGTATGGTCTCAAGGTGCACCTATTTAGCTATATATGTCTTGTTTATCCTTTTATTGCAGAGTAGTACTCCATTGTATAAAAAAATCTGTATCTTGGGCTGGGGATTTAGCTCAGCAGTTCAGTGGCCTGCCTTGCAAGAGCAAGGACCCAAGTTCAATCCCCGGTACCAAAAAAAAAAAAATCCATATCTTCTTCCACCTACCCCACAAGTGCAAGGTCATCCTGAGTTCAATCCCTGGTACCAAAAAAATAAAATAAAATCCGTATCTTCTTTATCCATTTGTTGGCTGATGGACATTTGAGCTAATCTAAGATTTATCTATTACAAACTGTGCCGCTATAAACATGAGTGTACATATATTGCAATGCTATGATGCTTTTAATTCTTTTGAGAAGATACCAAGAAGGGGAATAACTAGATCAAATAGAACCTCCAATTTTAGTTTTTTTATTTGTTTGTTTATTTGTTTTTGGTACCAGAAATCAAACTCAGGAGGATCTTGCTCTTGCAAGGCAGGTGGCGGCACCACTGAGCTAAATCCTTGGATCCAATTTTAGTTTTTTTGTGGAATTTCCACACTGATTTCCACAGTGGTTGCACCAGTCTACACTCCCACCAGCAGTGGAGCAGGGATCCTTTTTCCCCACAGCCCCTGCAGCATCTGTTATTGGCTAATGTCTTGATGATAGCCATTCTTTCTAGAGTGAGGTGTAATCTCAGCATTGTTTTAATTTGCATCTCTCAAATGACCAGTGATGCTGAACATTTTTTCATATTTATTTACTGTTTCTACTTCTTCATCTGAGAAGTGTCTCTTCATTGAAGATGAATGACACCTTTTAAAAAAATTCTGTAGTTCTATTCTGGAGAACCAATGAGTGTAATTTTTCTTATATCCACAGCTCTTTCATTCCCAAATTCATCACCCACCTCTTCAAGTGCAAGCCGATCAGTATGGTGGGAGCAGAACAGGTGAGATGGAATTCATATTGGGTCTTTGCCTTATAGCTTTTGTCATGTCCTAGGGAAGACCTGGAAAAATAAAATATTTGATATCCCCTGGTTGGAGACAGAATAATGACCTGGTGAGTTTCTTGATTCATTCATCCATCCACTTATTTTTTATAATCTGTTAAGCATCTACTGAGTACCGTTCATAGTTCTAGTGCACACAGTCATCAGGATGGAAAGTTTCTCCTTTGGAATACTCACATTCTGGTAGAAAGAGACAGATGCAAGTTAGCAGTTCCCTTAGAAGATAATTTCAATTTCAGATAAGTATGCTAAGACTATGAAACAAGGTTATAGGAAAAAATGTCCTAGATGCACGAAGGGGTAGTGGTCCAAAAAGGTTTCTTCAAGGGCTGGTGCTGAAAGGGCAGGAAAAGGAAGCAGCAGAGATTTTAACTATTTTGGAGCCACAGTGGCTGGGGCAGAGACCACTTAAGAACATAAGCAGCTTAGGGCCAGGGATTTGGCTCAGTTGTTCTGCTGCCTGGTGCAAGGGTAAAAAAAAAAAAAAAAAAAGAATAAAGAATATAAGCTTAGCATGGAGGTGCATACCTGTAAGCCCAGCAACTTGAGAGGCTGAGTCAGGAGTATTGCACCGTCCAGCTGAGCCAAGGCAACCTCCTGAGACCCTGTCTCAAACTAAGAAATTTAAAGGGCTGAGGATGAAGTTTAGTGGAAGAGTACCCAGGGTTTTAATCCTCAGTACTGCCAAAAGGTGGGGAGAGAAAGGCTTATATGGTACTGAGCGACTCTTATCACCTCCCCCAAGAAACTTCCCAGTTGGCTCCCCTCTGCTCACTTGCATTCTAAGCTTCACAAGGCCTCTGTTTAGTTTACATCACCTCATTACTGATGACCTGAGTTCTAGGCTACAGCACAGTCACTTTTCAGTTACTACCATTGACACTATCTTCAAGATGAGTGATTTGAATTAAAGGAGCAATTTAAGCTATTTTGAAAAGAAAAGCAATAATATTCTTTGAAAACATCAGTTAAATGTAGACAATTAATATGCTAATTGAAGTGATTCTTATATTCATTAAAAGGAATCCTCTCTAGGCCTTTACCTGTCAATACTTAGAAAACATGTAAGATTTTTATCATTCATTTCCACATACCCTTTATAAGACATTTCCACAAATCCTGCCCTGCCATCCAGTGAGCCCACGTGGTTGCAGCTTATCTCTCACAAGTTAGTGATGTTTTCCTCACACCAGCCCCTCAGCTGTGCTGGTCTCAGGTGTGCCCCAGTAAGATGGCAAGTTAACATGTGCCAGAGCATATCGTGCTCTCTTGTGATAACTCTAAATCAGATGTGTGTTGTCTGGGAATAGCAAGATCTCTTGACTCTGATGAGTAGTTTTATCCCTTTTTTGTTAGCCAGTGGTCTTCCTAGCTTATGAGCTCTGGAATCACAAAGGTCATAGGTGAATCTTGCATCTGCAACATAGCAATTGTCTGTCGTTAGCCATGTTACTTAACCTCGCAGCACTTGGGTCCTTTCATTTATACAAAAAGGTGATCAGTACCACCTAACAAAGTAGGTGTGAGGATTGGCACATGGTCAGCCATCACTAAATGTCAGCTCAGTAATTTTAAGCTTCCTAAGACCAGGGACATGACCTTGTCTCTGTTTTCATTGCCCATCTTTCCTAATACCTCTTCTGCACACAGCCTGCATAGAATCATCTAGTTAGTGCTTGCTGTGGGCTGTCTGGCTAACCAGCTTTAGTTGGAGTCAAAAGTGTTATCTCGGAAAACTTCCTGGGAGGTACAGATTCAGACACTGGCGGAGCCTGACTACAGCAGTTCAGCGTTTTTAAATTCCTGATGCTTGCATGTCATAAGCACAGAACTCATTCTCTCCACCAGCAGCAGAATAATGTCCTAACACGCTGTCTTCACTTTATTAGCACAACTCTACCAAGGATTCATTCTGGTCATATTATTCTTCTGTGTGTGATCAGGGAGGATGTGCAGCGATTAAGATCTGTGTATCTAGGAGAAGCTTTAGGGTTTTCAATTACTAGATTTCTATCTACAGACTTACACAAGCCACTGGAACTTAAAGTGGGCTCACAGTGTACATGTTTTCAGGAGTTTGTAGATTTGTGAACTGATTTACTGTCTAAATTGTGATATGTTCATGTTATTACATAAATCAAATGTCATATCTATTTTCCTCAGACTTTTTCCTCTTCCTCCTGCTCCTACTCCTTCTCCTCTTCTCTCTCTTCTTTTTCCTTCTCAGCAACAGGGATTTGACCCAGGGAAGAGCTGACCTATATCCCTAGCCCTTTTTATTTTTTTTAATTTTGAGATAGTCTGGCCAAGTTGCTCAAACCTGACATCTTCCCGCCTCAGCCTCATGAGTAGCTGGGATTACAGGAATGCTCCACCACACCCAGCTGATTTTAAAAAAATACTTGACTAATCATCTCAGATCCAAAGCCAGTGATTGCAGAAAAATATCCATTTGGGCAGGACTCACTTCTACTTTGAGATGTAAATGAGAAAACCATCTTCTGGCACTAGAGTTTTATGTTAGCAAGTATGAGTGGGCCACAGGGAAGGTATATTTCCATAGCCCTGGCATGGGAGAGAGGACAGATGAGACTGTGGAGCCATGTGGCCCTTGAAGGATTCCCAGAGAAGTTCAAGTTTGGCTGTGTCCGTGCTTACCTTGAGTATCTGCACTTTGAAACCCAAGCCATCAAGTAACCAGAGGCCTGTTTAGCCACCAGCAGGATCATCAAAATGAAGAAGTTAACAAAGAGATACTTATGGTCTAAAACAGTTCTGCCTCAAGTCATGGAGTGGCTATAATCCAAGCTTTAACAAAAACTGGGGAACTCAAAGCTAAGATTTAGCCTAACCTCAGCTGCATCTGCTTTGCCACAGAGTTGCTAGATCCTAAATTTAGGTTATGCTTCAATACTAATGCCAGAAACGGGAAAGGGCATGCTTTTCTGCTTTTTATTCTCATCTTGATTATTATATAAAGTGAATCGTTTGTCTTTGGGCCCCAGAGTCCTTTTGAGCAGTTGCAAGGGCACGTGGAATTGAACTATACCAGTTCTGCAATGCTTCTTGATAGTCTGTGATTTTCAGAGAACCTGGAGGGATTTACAGGGTCATAAATTAGTCTTACAGCCATGGTCATCTATAACTGAGCACACAGAAGAAAAAGAATCCATTCACCAAAATCACAGTACAGAAAGCAGCATGGCATAGTATAGGAAGAGTCCAGTCCTTACTGTGCTGTTAATTGTCACAAACTGCCACCCTGCGAGAGGCTAAGTTTCCTCCTGTTGAAACAAGAGCACCAAACCCGGTGTTATATAAACCTCTTCAAGTTTTATCACATTGTGGAGTCTTAGATCCTTGGAGCAAAATATTTCATGTCTGTACAGTTAGTTTCTTTTATATTATCTTTACATACTATAATTGACTTTGTATTAAAATTATGGTAAAAAAGACATACAGGAAATTTATCATTTTAACTCTTTTTAAGTCGTTGCTCAGTAGCATTAAGTATATTCACATTCTTGTGCAGTCATCATCACACATCCAGACCAATTTCATCTTTCCAAACTGAACCTTTGTACCTGTGCAACAGCACTTCCCCACTCCCTCCCCCGACAGTCCCTATCAAGTAAGTTCTACTTTTGGTGTGTCTGAATTTGACTACTATAGCTGTCACCAATCAACTGAGAGTTCTTTCGTTCACGCAGATAGAAATCATGACTCAGCAGTGCTAGCAGCCCTGCTACCACCCCAGTTAGTGCTTGGTATTGTCAATCTCATCTGTTTTTCTGGTCTCTGCTGCGGCTGACTGCCATCATTTGACGCTGGCTTGTGTCGGGCATCCTCTGTTTACTGCCAGGTGCTAGTGTGTGCTGCTTCTAGCTGCCATTATTCAGTGCCAGCTTGTGCCAGATGATGTTTGTTGGTCAACTTTGCCAGTTGCTGTTCTGTGCCGCTGCCATATGATGCTGGCTTGTACCAGACACTATCAGTTGACTTTGCCAGTTGGCTGATCTTGGCCACTACCAGCCCTGCTACTCATTGCCAAATTGTGCCAGATATGTCAGTCAACTTTACTGATTGCCAGTCACAGCAGCTGCCACATACTGCCATTTGATGATAAATTGTGCCAAGACCTAGTTCTGCCACCAGCATCCAATGCCAACTTGTTCTGGATGCCTTTAGTTGACTGCCAGTGGCTAGTCTTAATCACTGCTATTCAACTCTCAATTGTGCCAGATACTGTCAGTCAACTTTGCCAGTTGCTGTCTTGGCCACTAGTGGCCACCACCATCTGACACCAAATTGTGTCATATGCCATTGGTCAACTCTTATGGGTGCTAATCTCTGCCAGTACTGACTGCCAGCATTTGACACTGGTTTATGCTGGCCACTGTCATTTGACCCCAGCTTGCACTGGATGCCCTTGATCAACTCTGCCAGTTGGTTCTTTTTTTTGGCTTTTTTTTTTTTTTTTTTTTTTTTGGTACCACAAATTGAACTTGGGGCCTCGTGCTTGCCAGGCAGGCGCTGTGCCACTGAACTACATTCCTAGCTCTGAAGCTCTTTAGGACTAATAGCCCTAGTGTTTATTGTTCTTTCAAAGTGACCACTCTAGCCACATGCAGGATAAGAATCCAGGGTAGTTTTGCAGGACTTTCAAGCCCACATTACTTGAGAAATCAAAGCAGATTTACAGGACCACCAGAGTAAAGCTTTATTCAAATATGGCCTGTGTAACAGCATAGTGGGGTCAGGACACCAGAGGGAACCCTCTGAGAAATGTGACCAGTCTGCAGCTTATATAGCAGCTACAGGCCTATGACTGGTCCAAATTGGTCTAGGTGGGTGTTGTCATGGCTAGGGTTCAAAGAAACCTGGGGAGATACCAAGCTGTTTGATGGACAGCTGTCATATCTCCACTGAAAATGACA